TCGAAATATTACCTTAAAATTTAAACTTACCCTTTTCGTTAAAAAGACAACTGGAAATTACCTTAGCCTGACTCACTCACCTGTGTCCCCAGCAGAGTCGCCAAGCTGTCGGAACCGTCTTTCGGCTGGGCCTCGGAATCGGGCTTCGACTGGAATTGATTGGGTTAGAGTCGCCACCGACCACTTTAAAATGAATTTAGGTGGGTCGAATACCATCTTACCTGATCTGCATCTTACCAAAGATGTGTCGGATTCGGGAGTCGGTTGCGGTCAAGGAAGGATTAGCACCCTTGAACCGCCCTTTCGGTACTACGTAATTTCCAGTTGTCTTAGTTTAAGAAAATTGTAAATTTAAATTAAGAGGTGAAATAATGATCTCGACTACTTACAATTGATTGATTTGAAAGTGAACCTCTGTAGCCTTCGAAGTTTTCAATAAAACTACTTGGATTGCTTTGAATATTGGTATAACTTTGCTCAAAAAAAAAAAATTTGCCTTTATTTCGTGTAATCCCCTTTGTAATCTTTGGTATCTGTAGCCTCCCCCTCTCTCTGTTGATTACATGTATTTATACTAGAAAGAAATGACAACTTTGAGTCCTAATCAAACTCTATTATTCTTGTTTGTTTCCGGATATCTCGGGACTGAGAGTTGTGTAGTCGTGGGAGGCGCGAGGATGATGTTTGACCGAGCAGCTGGGATGCGTGAGGCGTAAGGGCTTCTCGAACAAAGCCGTGCGGCGCTAGGGTGAAGCTTTTGGCTAGGGTTTGAGACAACCCTAAATATCTCCATTATGAACCGTTGGATCTCGTCTAGATCCAACGACCACTGTTGCTGGCGGCTGGAGGCAAGAGTGGGGTTAGGGTTTCTAGAAACCCTGATCTTCTACAGGTTTGGGCCACACGTGATGTTGGTTTTGTTTGTGATGGGCATGTATACAAACATAAAAAATACATAAGTATGTATATTATATAATGTAGTTAGTAACTATCATATAATATAACAACATTATTTAAAACAGATAAAATTTAGTGTCTTCAGGTAATGTAGCCACATCAGTAATGTCATGACATACGGTTGTCATGTCGTCGTTTCGTTAGATCATTAATGGCAAAACGATATAATTGTATTTAAAAATAAATATTGTGCTAAAATTGATAAAACTAAAATGTTAAAGTCCAAACTTAAAGCGAATGATATTTGAAGTAGTTTTCCTGGTATTTATTTCCTCCCTCTGTCGACTGGTTTTTATCATGTCTGAATTTCAAATCTTCCTAGGGTTTTATTCTCTGTAGGTCGCTCAATTTTCTCGAAAGCCTACCTCTTGGTTCCGAAATCCTCAATCGAGATATGGCTCGAAACGAAGAGAAAGCTCAGTCGATGCTCAATCGATTCATAGCCCTAAAAGCGGAGGAAAAAAAGAAACCTAAAGAACGCCGCCCTTTCCTCGCCTCTGAGTGCCGTGATCTTTCCGAGGCCGACAAATGGCGTCAACAAATCATGCGGGAGATCGGCCGCAAGGTCGCCGAGATTCAGAACGAAGGCCTCGGAGAACATCGACTTCGAGACCTTAACGACGAGATCAACAAGCTTATCCGAGAGAAGTCTCATTGGGAACGCCGTATCGTTGAACTCGGCGGCTCTAATTACGCCAAACACGCCCCTAAAATGACGGATTTAGAAGGGAACATAGTGGATGTTCCGAACCCTAGCGGACGTGGACCCGGTTATCGGTATTTTGGAGCGGCGAAAAAGTTGCCAGGAGTCAGAGAGTTGTTCGAGAAGCCGCCGGAGTTGCGAAAGAGGAGAACTAGATATGATATTTATAAGAGGATTGATGCGAGTTATTATGGGTATAGGGATGAAGAGGACGGGGTTTTGGCTAGAGTGGAGGGGCCAGCGGAGACAAAGATGAGGGCTGAAGCGGAGGAGGAATGGCGGAGAGTGGAGGAGATTAGGCGAGAGGCAAGGAGAGGGGCGAAGGAGGTGGTTAGCGTTGGAGCTGCGGCGAGGGAGGTGTTGTTCGAGGAAGAGGAGGATGTGGTGGAGGAGGAGAGGAGGGAGATGGAGGAGAAAGAGAGGAAGGATAAAGAAAAAGAATTCGTTGTGCACGTTCCCTTGCCTGATGAGAAGGAGATTGAGAAGATGATTGTTGAAAGGAAGAAAATGGAGCTTTTAAGTAAGTATGCGAGTGAAGAGTTGTTGGAGGAGCAGAGTGAAGCCAAGAACTTGCTTAATATTCAAGGATAGAATAGATGCTGGTAATATTGTATTTTCTAATCTAGAACTTAGATGATATCAAATGTTATAACCTTTCTGTTTTGGTTAGATTGCTTTTAGATTGAGTTCCAAGAATGACTTTTCCATGTGCAACTTGGGTTTTTTGTGTGAAAAAAGTGCTTGAAAATTCATTATATTTGCATTCTGATGATGTTTGCACTGATGTTATATCTGGATTTGGTTACATTGATATTATCACTAATCTTGTGATAGCTTTTGTTTGTTTTTATTGCTGGTGCTATCATACCTCGCCTGTTTGATGATGCTTAAGATTATAAGAAAAATATGTTGGTTTCTTCCTGATGCTACTTTGAGCTGTAGGCATCCACCACTATAGTTTGGATATAATCCCTGAATGATTAATTATGAAAGGTTCTTGCTTAACATTGGATGACAGATGTTGCCCTTAGCTTCCAAGTCCTTTGCATGTTTAGAACACTTTTAACAAGTTTTTGCAAGTTCAAAAGAGAGACCTTAGTATTCTAATCTAACATATATTACTTATGATTGTACTTGATGCTTAGGGTATTATGATCTATGGAATTCCTGTATATTCCAACTGACCAAATTTTATTGAAAGAAAAATCTCATACCCTTGATGGTTGTTTAGGTATCATAACTTGTTTAAGTTTGTAGGCTTTGTGGATAGTTCTCATGCTTTCACTCACACAAAACTGGTTTCATCTTGTGATAGCATTTGTTTTTACTACTGGCATTTGGTATCACACTGGAAATTAAACATTCCAATGTGATATTTATTAACATAAGATGCCACCTACTGTTAAATAAAATATTAGCCTGAACCTACACTACAAAGATCTGTGTTGATGATACACATGTAGTATGAATTTATGTCCAAGACATTGATGCTAAATAAATATATTTCAGTAACTTTTGACATTACAGATCTTATTAACTAGCTTTAGCATATTTGGCCATGTTGATTTGACAAAAGTGAAGGACTAGATCTCAATTTATATAGGAAACTCTTTGGACAATATGATGTAATACTGTAATGGATAGTTGCTTCGTTCGGTCATTCTCTACTTTTCATATATCATTTAAAAAAAATGGAATGAAACAGATTCTGGGGAGTAACATAACTTAGTATACTTCCTTTTCATCAGTGGGAGTTGGAATTAATTCCTGTTTATCTAACTTTATCCTTGTTTTAGGAAGAAACTTCTGAACTTAACCTATATTTTGTACACTGCAGGGGTTAAATATTTTATGTCAAAGCAGTTTCAGGTATTGGTTTACATGGTCCCAATGAGCCAACATTAAAATTTTGAAACATTAGCCGAACAATCAGATCTTGTACTCTTTTGCACTGGAGGCTAGGCTTAGATTGAACTGAGGATGATATCTTTTACGAACCCAGTGGAGTTGTGTTATTAAAGGTTGTGTTGCTTAAAATGTCATTCCTCCGTCTGGAAAATAAAATGGCGATTCACTGTTTCGTAGCATCTACCTTTGAATATCAATGGGCTCTATTTTAGTTCCAAGATTCTTCTCCCGACACTAGATTATGTATGAATTACTGATGATATTATGCATGGAGTAGACATAGCTTGAAAAATCTTCAAAATTAATGTTTGAAACAATGAAATCTAGTAAGTGAATTTTGGTAAGGGTAGGAAAATCATATCGATTACTGCATTTTCCTTTGAATGACACGAAAAAGATTTATTTTCTGTCACTCAGTGGCTTTCTCTTAAATCACGGACTTTGTTACACGAGATGCAATATGTTTCTGAAATGAAAATAACCGAAATTATAAACCAAATTACCATATTCTATCGACATCCAAATTCTGTTTCCCTAACATTCGACTCTTGTTTAACATTTCTTTCATTCCCCTCCGGCCAGACCCCATGGCTAAGGCCATTCCAAGCAAGTAATTATATCCAGAGTTTTTCCATTAGAAATGCCAATGGATCCCTGGTTTCCTCTTCGGTGCTGCATAGGGGGCATTCGGTGATTACTTGGCAGGCCCATGTTATCGAGTAAAAAGTTTTTTCACCAAACTATCCTATGCCAAGTCATTTTCTCCTGTTTGGGTCTTGGAATTTGCCAAACCCCAGCAACTTTAAAAACAGACCCAGTCTGTCATTTCTAAGCAATAAAAATATACTGCTTTTGCTATGGTGTTCTGCTTGTCTTGAGAGATTTGAACATTTGAAATCAAAGACAGATATTCTCATTTAAGAAGCTGAACTCGGTTCAGCAAGTTTCTGTTTCACAGCTCTTGCTTGCATTTTACTTGTCAGAGTCAATTTCAACCTCACTGGCAGAATAAGTTGACGGTAACTGATATTCACAGGCCACAACACTTGGTTTATGGAAGGTGTGTTTCTGCCGCAACAGAACTACCAAAATGGTTTACAAAATCGATAATTTTGTTATTTGATTTGATTGGAAGGTTGGGGATTGAAATCCTGAGGCGAAAACCGGTTGGTGCTTCAGCAACTCGTCAAAACCAAAACCGTATTTGTCCCACTTGAAAGTACATCAGAGCCATAGGTTCTGAGGTTAAATTACAATCATCTTTTCAGATTCTTATTTGAACTATATATTACCCTTCCATGTTTGCTTATTTGCCCATATTTAAGAACTCAGACTGATGCTCTGGTAAAAACTCTAAATCCACAAAGGGAAGACAGCAAAGCTGAGAGTTGAGCAATGCTTATAAAAAAAGAGTATGGGTGACCTTTACAGCTTACTTATTTGGACGGGGTTGATGGGCAATCAGTTTAGTCCATGGCCTAGGCCGGTAGTTTTCATTGCACTCGGAAGGTGCATCTGCCTAAGGACTCCTCGAGTGGGAGAGCCTTCATCATTATTTGTGGCCGTGGTGGTGTGTGTTTGTCCGGCCGGCCCCTTCTCAATTCCCAGTTAATATTTATCTTATTTAATAATATTTCCAACTCATAGTTGTACTTTCCTTTAATGTTATGGTTTATATAAAAATAACTACTTAAACTATACTTAAAATTGATTTTTTGATGCTTAAAAAGTTTTTATTAAAAATATGTTTTTTACTTAAAATTGTTTTTTAATACTTAAAAAGGTTTTATTAAAAATATGTCTTAAAATTGAATTTTGATGCTTAAAAAGTTTTTATTAAAAATATGTTTTTTGTACTTATAATCGATTTTTAATGCTTAAAAAGGTTTTATTAAAAATATATCTTAAAATTGATTTTTGATACTTAAAAAGTTTTTATTAAATATATATCTTTTCCCGTGTGTTTATTGTAAAAAAAAATCTGTTATACTTTTAAGCGCTTGCCTATTATAAAAAAAAATATGTTATACGTTTAAGTGCTTATCGTCAAAAAGAATCTGTTAAGTAACATGTCACGTTTATAATTTTTATTTTTATAAATAAAATATTATTTAAAATATATTTTTTGGAAAAATAAAATATGAACATGACATATGTCACTTAACGGTAGGCACCTAAAAGTGTAACGAAGAAAATATTAGGCACTTATTTTTAACGAAATTTTCTTTAGACACCAAAAGTCAATTTTAAGTATAGTTTAGACGCTTATTTTAAGCCTAACTTTAAAAAGGTTCCAGAATAAAAATATAACCATTTCAATTGGATGAACCAGGATAAAATATAGCCATCTCAGTTGGATGGGGGTGAAATAATAATCAGAGGAAAGATTCACTTAAATATATAATGAAATGAAAGAAAAGACCTGAACCGTGAATGATTTCAAGCGGTGTTGATTGGCATGCTTACCAATTTTAGCATTGTTTGTTAATTCTTCTACTCCACCCAAACTACAAGGTTATTTTGTTTCGATCATGCAATTGCATCAACTCTAGTTTTCCATAATATTATGGAAATTGATTTCCGGATTTTAAATTAAACAAATGATTTGGATGAAATAATTATCAGAGGAAAGTATCCATTAAGATGTTATGAAACAATAGAAAAAACATGAACTGTAGTTATAGCATTCTTTGTTTATTCTGATTAAATCTATTATCAAGTTATTTTGTTTCGATAAATGTATTGCACCAACACCAGTTTTCCATAATATTACCTCAACCAGAAGGAAATTGATTTCTATTTGTCATTCCTCCAGTTTTAAATTAAACAAATGATTATTACTGGTAATTCTAGCTCTAGCTGCCCTTGCGTTTCCTTTTACTACTACTATTTTTTTTTGGGTAAACTACATAAATGATCACATAACTATGGGTCAGGTCGTGAAATGACGTCCATTTTCAAAACTGTGACAAATATATCACTTAACTATTTAAATGAGTTCAAAATAACCACAAGACGTTAACATTTAACAGAGGTGTTTACGTGACAGTTAAAAATGATATAATTAGGGCAGAGTCCTTATAAAGATACGTATTCACGACACTGGCACCCTTCTTTGTTTTCTTCCATTTTGCTCACTACTTGTATATGATTTGTTTCCTTGGGTTTTCATTTAATTCAATTTGATCCTGATTTTGTTTTTAATTTGTCTAATACCTTAATTTGAGCATTAACTTTAAAATCTTTTATTCTAATCATGTATTAAATTTGTAGATTAAATCCCCTATATTTTAGAATTAATCAATTTGATCACCAAAATTAACTTTAATTCTTACATTTTAATTAGGTCCTAATTTCAATTTAATTTAATAAATTTATTTCTCCAATCAAATTGTGACACATGTCACAATCTTATGATTATAGTTTGAATCTTAACTATAATATATATATATCATTAATTATAATATAATAAATATTATAATTTGAATATTAAATTATTTTTTAATGATTCCATATATATAATCATTACAAAATAAATATGAAAACAATAAATTTAGTTTAAAATATTAAAATTAAATCAATTATAAATAAATTATTAAATTTATTTTAATGATTTAAGCGTTGTCATATTATCAATTAACTTAATAATATGAAACATTAATTATATCATATTATTTATTAACTATATATGTCAATTATATCTCCCTGACATCACAATAATTTCATAAATAATAAAAATTATCTAACTTCATCACGAGCACTTCTCAGCATAAGCCGCGAACTCATGTATATCAAAGTACGTATAGGGGAGGAAGAAGATGATTGTGAAAGTATGTTTGAATTCATATTTTATTCGCTTCACAAATGACATATTTTCTTACATCTAGGTCCTTATCTTTTGTATGTTTTACAGTTTAGTCACTCTCTTTACTCCTTCAAAGTCCTACCACTAGGGGTGTTCAAAACAGGTTACCTATACTTTTGGGTACCCAAAATTTTTGGGTATCAAAATTTTGGCCCGTGTCCCGGTCCTTTACATTCATGTACTTGTATTTTCGGGTCACGGGTACCCGGTTAATAAATTTTTTATTTTTTAGAATTATATTTTTTTAAAAATATATAGAAAAATTCTAAAATCTTAAAATTTAAAGGTCTATAATATATAATTCACACATAAAGTTAAAAAAAATCAAATTACATAACTGAAAAAATTATTGAAAATTAAAACAAAAAATTATAATTAAATTTCAAATGTTTCAAAGTTAAAATAAATATTTTAAAAAATAATTTAGAATGTTAATGTGAAATAATTTAAGAAATTGAGAATTTAGAATGTTATGGTGGCAAAATTTAAGCAATTAGGAATTTAGAATGTTAGAGTGAAATAATTTGATAATTATAAATAAAAATTTAATATAAAATAAAAATTATATATATATATATTGGGTATCAGCTATGCGATTACCTGATTAAACAACATTTTGTTATATTAAATTGAAATTAGGACCTAATTAAAAATTAAGAATTAAAGTTAATCATGGTGATCAAATTGATTAATTCTAAAATATAAGGGATTTAATCTACAAATTTAATACATGAATAGAATAAAAAATTTTAAAATTAATGCTCAAATTAAGGCATTAGACAATTTAAAAACAAAATCAGGATCATATTGGATTAAATGAAAATCCAAGGAAATAAATAATATGCAAGTAGTAACCAAAATGGAAGAAAACAAAACAGGATGCTAGCGTCGCAAATACGTAACTTTACAAGGACCCCTGCACTAATTATATCAATTTATTTAGCTGTCACTTAAACACCTCTGTTAAATGTTAATTTGAACCTATTTAAACAGTTCAGTGTATATATGTCACAATTTTGAAAGTAGTGGTCATTTTGTCACTTGACTCGTAGTTAATGTGGTTGACCCTTTTTTTTTTTCTAGGTATGAATGCATTGTTGTGGAATTTGATGCGAAGATGCATTAAAAAAATTGACAAGGTTCGTGTGAATTTGGTCTCTATGGGGCACAGAGACCTGTCCAAATATCAGACTAAATAATGCTTCAAGAGTAGTCTTTGTTAACATTTCCAGCCAGGATGGTATGTTTGATGCAAATCTTTTGGAGTCGGTTGTGCTTTGAAGAGACATAATTCGTATTGTATTGTACTGTATAAGTTTTACGTGTACCAATAACGATATAGCCTTCATTTTCTGTGAATCTCAGTTGGTTATGTGTATATTGTCAACCGTTGGGTGTTTTTTTATTTCAATTTTGAAGTATTTTTCGAGTTAACCAAACGATAATTGCGTTAGAGAGCAAGGCGTTCACTGTGAGTTACATAATCACTATGAGAGCATAACTTATGCCTATTTAATTTTGGAGATAGTAGCAAGGCTTTTTATCCTACAAAAAAATTAAAAGCTTTGGTGTTTTCCTTTTTCCTGGTACAAAATTAAAAGGAGTGAACGATTCAGATGAAATTACCACAAGTCAAGTTCCACTATCCCACAGCGTACTGAGAAGTAAGTTAACAGCTATTCCTCATGTTTATAATGCAACTAGTAGTTTACTTCCAAACTAACGGAGCCGTGCGGTGAGTATAGGACGAATTATTCTTTCGCCTTTTACTAAAGAATACGTGTGCTCTCCACTTCAAGCGACATACGCCTATTTTTGAAAGGGTTCGTTGAATACCCCTATCCCAATTCAAGTTTCCAAGATTGAAAGGGGTAGAGTATTTTTTGGGTTTGTATTGGTGGTAATTTCCGTTTTCCCCTTTCTTTAAAAAATTTCAATTATGGAGAATTTCTCGAGTTCTCTCCAAGGGCCATGGCACAACAAAGAGGAGCGAAGCTTTAGAAAGCAGGTGGACAGAAGTTATCAATGAGGCAGCAAGTCGTGTGAACTTTGCTCGGAGAGTTTAGATTTGAGGTGGGAAAGTGTTATCTTGCACATCTCTGAACAGAGTAAGCCGACGTTCTTTTCAGAAGCTTTTGTGCTGCAAGTAAGCCTAAACCAATTGCTCTATAGTCATTGGGTATGGTTGAGACCATTCTGCAAGTTTTCATGGATTATTCGCCTTCAAGTATCAGATTTGGGGAGCTTTGGATGGCTGTTGGATTAAGCTTGCGGGAAAAGATTGCAGTCATGGTATTGTTCTATAGCATGCGTATAGTATTAATTTCATTTCTTGGGGTGAGCTTTGCAATTATTAGTGCTTAGGTGCACACATAAACAAAAATTTAGGGTAACAACACGATTTTTAAATTAGATGGGTTAAAATAATATTTTAGGATGGACACCATCATAAAATATATAATTAACGGAAGAAAATTCGTATATCATGATAGACATATGCCTGCAAATGCAAAATAAAATAATGAATCATGCATCATATTAATATCTATATATCATCATTCTTGATTTGAATAGAGAAATTGCTTTCCCATAATTTTCTATCATGTGAAATTAGTAGTTTGGCATGCATCACAAACTCCCCCATGGGTAGGTACTTACATGAACTCTTATTTAACTGTTTGAATTACGATTTTAGTATATTTCTAAGCATTTGGTTTAGGGTTTTCTGCATCCTGCTGTTGTTTCCACTGCTCCGGGGTCTGAGCCTTCTTTATCGACAGAGCATGGATTTGTTTCATCTCATCTTCCAGAGCAGCATTCACTACCCGGTGCCTTTCTAGGAGCCTCTTCCCTTGGAATTGTTCCGAAACAATCTCGATTGCAAAACTTGCACCGCACCTGATTCAATCAACCTCTTACTGAAATGTAAGGATGGATTATTGCAGAAATTTAAATAGAAAAATGTTCAGAATCAAGCTCACCCTCCAGATGTATCGATCACTTCCTGCAACACACGAGTACAAATGATTAGTTTTATGTGAAAATAGCATAAGATATACATGTATCAAAATAGCAGAAAAGCAACAAGCAAAAGCACGTTCATGGGTTAATTGTGGAAATATGATCAGGGATGAAAAAAAATATAAAGCCCTTCACTTTACAAAGACATGACGTAACTTAAAAACCAAGAACCCAGTTTTAGGTTTCTGGAAATTTTCGAATTTCGACTTTGATAGGAATAAACTAAGCACAAAAACGTGCATGCAAGAGAAGAAAACTGGAGAAAGCTGTTTACCAGATGAGAAGGCTTCAATTTTGAAGTTAAGGAAGACTCAACTTGTTCCTTTGTTACTCCCATCTTCTGTTTCCTGCTTTCGTTCTATCTCTTCTTCTTAGTTTTGTTCTTCGGGTTCAACCTGAAATAGGCTAAAATGGTCCAATATTCCTTTACCGGAATATAAATTCACGAAAGATTCGAATTCTGTGGTGGAAGTGGAACCTAAAAAAAAAAATCGATTTTGGTGATGGAACAAAAAAAAGAAGAAGATTCGATTCTGGTGGAGTAAACTTCATGAAGAGTTGCTACATATTCTATGGAAGGCTTATCCATTACTAAAAGTCCATTATGAATTTAATTAATTTTTTTTCTCCATTTAGGTTGTAATACTTATTTGATTTAGGGCATCATATTTCATTTTCATCCGATTGGTTTCTTCCTTTTTCATTTCGATTTTAGTCATTTTTATAAATTATATATTTTAATCTGATAGATTTTTTTTAATTTTATATTAATAGAACAAGTTAATAATCCAGTTAATAACATTTAATCAACAATAATTTTTACGTTAATAGAATACTTAAGACTTCTAATAGAGAAATCACATCATCTTGATGAAACTGATGAGTTTAAGAGCTTAAACATTGATTTTTTTAGTCAATTCATTGGCCAAACCAAGGGCAAATATACATTGTTAGTAGGGTATGGAATGTTCTGAGACCTGAATCGAAGAAGTTGGCTTGAAATTAAGTGTTGCAATGTCTATTTTATGTTGTGAAGCAATCCTTTAGATCTTGGTTGGCGACGTTGAATAGTTTTTTTTATTAGTTTATGATTGTTCCATGTTTCCCCCTCATTCTTACGTTTGTAGCAGCTTCAATTACTTGCATGTTATTGAAAGTGCACCTGAGATGTCAGTGGGTATTGGTGGTTTGTTAGTTACGGGAACATGTGACACCCTCATTTAGGGGCAATTTTTTTAATTATTTGAAGTATCAAATTAAAGTCGTATTAAGGGAGAAATTGAGTATCAAATTGTAAAATTTTCAAAGTTGCAGTTCGGTTTCTGAACTTGTGGGAAGTTTAGGGATTTATCCTTCAAATTTCCCAATTTCACCTGATAAATTAAAACCCGTTTAACCCTAAAAATTCCCAAAATTCAAACCTGTGTAATCTCTAACCCCAACTACACCCTGCCGATCATCGTCTCAATTCGTCGTTGTCTGGCCGTCGTTCGATGCACTACCACCCTTGTTCTAACCGCCGTACTTCCCCAACCAAAGCCCGACCATCGTCGCGCCGTGAAACGCCTTATATCGCAGTGAATCGACGATTTTTCACGACGAAAATCCCAAAATTTCACCGTTGTTTTCTTCGAATTCCGGCCGACCTAGTCGGTTTTACCGTTCACCGCCGTTTCCATAAGCTTTAACGGCGAAGTGCGAACAAAACCTAACTGGTTTCATTCCTCGTTGACGCGCCATCGTCGATCCAACAGTGGGTAAGTTTCAGGTTTATAGTTTGGTTAATTTTCTTTAGGTTTATAGTTTGGTTAATTTTCTTTCGGTTTATAGTTTGGTTAATTTTTGAATTGGCTTCGCTTGTTGATGGTGTATAGATGCTCCGGGATGAAACGTCCGACCAACCGGACCTCCGTCGCCGATGCATGCACCTCCACACGCCGGCAGTGTGCGTGGGTTTCTTCCCCTTCCCTAGAAGCTTCTGGGTCGGTCCGATCAACCCGACTCGCTTAACCCGACCCAAACCGGTTTGACCTGACCCGAACTGTTGACTGGTCTGACCATTGACTTTGACTTTGACCGAAAAAGTAAAAAATTTTCGAAAAGCCATATTTTATGTTTTTCAATGTCCTTAGTTCGAATTTGAAGCCCGTTTTGCCAAATTTGTACCCTGTAAGACGTTTTTCAAAGTTTTATCTTCGATTTCAAGTTGGTTTCTCATTTAAGTTCAGTTTCTTACGTAAATTCATTTTCTATGTATCAGAGGAATTATTGGACATTGAATTAAAGTTCGAGGACGATCAAATAGAGATTAAATGGTCAATCGATATGCATGAAAAACGAGGTAATACTTTATTACCTTTTATATGCTTTTTGGGACTCACTAATAAATGGTAAATGCATGAATGGAAATAATTGGTCAATTAGGTGTAGTTAACTATCTTTGTACTCATACAAAAACTGGATTAAAGACGGAACACTGTATAAGAATCTATCAGCTCGAAAAAGAAATTGGTAAACTGATCGGAAACAAATCTCTGTTCAATAATTTAATCAGTAAATCAATTAATTTCAGAATGCGTAGATTCTGATTAATCTCATTAAAGATTAAATGTTGGAAATATTTGGATAAGAAATTACCGAAAAGAACACTACGGGGGTAAAATTATGAAATGCCCTTGTACTGTAAAGGATCAAGACATCCCCTAGTGGTGAAAATAACCTCTAGTGATCAAAGGACAACGTACTATAAACTCTAAAGGAACTAGAATACTTTCAGGCCTAAGTTATCCTAAGTAATGCCACTGACAGAATTGATTGAAATGACAATAATACCCTTAAAGTGTAAAAAGGACTATGGATGAATATGATAATGGAGACGACTTGAGAACTTAAATTATGATCTACTTGAATCTTGGATCACCGATTAAATTTCTGATTTAGTTAGAATGACCGTGAAGTGTAATATGTTCAAAGCACGTCCAAGCTCTGGAATAACTAAATACCCTCAACTATGAAATGTACAAATTAACCTCGTATACCAATTTGACTATATTATATGACCAAGTTAAATGGAATGGAAGTACTGTATGTATTCAAATTTCGGAAACGATAGAATTACTCTGGAAACTCCAAAGTGATCGGGATAGACTTGAATACTAAATGACCTAAGTAACTTCAATGACTTAGGAGTAAGCGAGTGACTTGGATAAGTCTAAAAACGCTAATGAACTTACATGATGTATCGTCCCTAAGGGTTATGAACCACGAATCAAGCACGTCGACATTTCCTTATATCGTTGAAATGTAGAAATGAAATAAAGACCATTGGAATATTTGTTCGTCTCTCTAAGACATTCGACAATGATTCTGAAGATGATCTATGGACAAGAGTTATTGGTATTAAAGAGTGATTACCCTAGAAGTGCAACGAATTGACCGGTTGACATACATTAGTGCTGGGAGTTGTTCAGTTCGAGTTAATTGGATATTTCGATAGATTGACATAAATCTTAAATGCCCTGAATCTTCATTTCTCCCTTATAAACTCAAATCACTAAGAATTCTCCAAGAACCTAATGCCCAAAATGCCTCTGATTTCATGAATAATGAAATCACTTATGTCATATCTGAAAATTTGAATTAATGGAATCAACTCAAATCAATTTTTTTTCCCAATTTCGAGTTATTCGGTTTATAAATTCAGTTTTCGAGTTTGAGTTGAGTAGAAAATTTGAATTTTCGAGTTACTAAAAAAACCAACAATTTGACTAAGTATTTTGACAGTTTTACGATTTAGTCCCTGATTTCATTATTTCTTCAATTCCTCTTCGATTTTAAGTCCTTTTTTACCAAATTTGAACCACATGCTCTTAAACCATAGTAGAATACATGTTTACTTCCACTTTTTGATAACAAATTTTTATTTTTTTAATTTAGTCCTTTAATTTTTCATAATCTCCTTATTTCTTCAATTTGTCATTTATTTTTAGTCTTTTTTTACCATATTTGAGTTACATGCTCCTAAACCATAGTAGAATACACGTGTACTTTCAATTCATCTTTTTGATAACAAATTTTTATTTTTCAATTTAGTCCTTCAATTTTTCATAATCTCCTTATTTATTCAATTTTTATTTATTTTAAGTCTGTTTTTACCAAATTTGAGCCGCATGTTCCTAAACCATAGTAGAATACTTGTGTTCTTTCAATTCTTCTTTTTGATAACAAATTTTTTATTTTTCAATATAGTCTTTCAATTTTTCATAATCTCCTTATTCCATCAATTTGTCATTTATTTTAGGTTCATTTTTACCAAATTTAAACCACATGCTCATATACCACAATAGAATACCATGTAATTTCAATTGTTATTTTTTATTAAAGATGTACTCTCTTTACTTTGCATTTTACTTAATTTGATTTTTTTATTACAATTGTTTGCAAATTCTTTATTCTCATCAATTCTTTGACTCATTTATACTCTCATCAATATTTTACCCTTAAAATACTTTCTTTAAAATATAATATTATGAATGTATTTCATAATTTTATATTGTATTTGATAGGCTTAAAGGTCACAGATGCCCCTGTAGTAGACAAAAATTATCATTTCGCCCCTATCGTATTTTCGCATCAATTTTGCCCTTGAAGTTGTTTAATTTAAATCAATGTCTACCTTTGACCGTCTTGACTAACAGAACCATTAGTTTTTGATGACATGGTCGCCAGCTGTTTCCATGTGGAATATCTTTGCTAATGTGTAAACTAGTTAACATGGCAAAAAAAAGTAAATATTTACACGGGCTAAAAAAGAAAAAACCTAATTTTATTCATAATTCCTAAAAACACAAAGAGGGAAAACAAATTCCCAAAATCACGATTGAATGAAAACTCCAGAATCCATCTTCAACAAAAAAAAAACGATTGAATACTCTCCCAAAATCAGACCGGTACCTTAAAATTGAGAGAGAAAGCAAGACATCTTCAACCGAAAGCAATACATTTGTCAAAAAATTGAAAGCAAGCGAGAGAGAGGAAGTAGATTCGCGAATAATCGAGAGAGAAAGTTTGAAGGCTTAGAGCAATTAAGAAGTGGTAAGTTTTAGGGTTTGAATAGTTTTCATTGTTTTGGGTTTAGGTTTTGTTGATTTGAGACAATTTTATATGTTTGAATATTTAATCAAACATTAACAAATTTTTTTTGTCTTCTTTTGGTTGATATACACTTTCACACACAGTTTTCCATGGCCATTTGTTTTTTTCTTTCTTTTTCCTGCCATGGTCGTATGCTTTTGACCCAAAAAGTACCGAAAAGGGACTTAGATTTCTTTCATGGTCCCTATGCTTTTTCATTTGAAAATAATATAAAGATTCCTTGTTTTTCTTTGTTTAATAATTTAATTTAAGATGATTAAAACCTGATGCTATTA